GGGATGCTTTGGAGCAGGAGAAAGGATGGACAATGTCAATGCTGGGATGTTTTGGAGCAGGAGGGAGGATGGATAGTATCAATGCTGGGATACTGGGATATTTTGGAGCAGGAGAGAAGATGAACAGTGTCAATCCCGGGATTTTGGGATATTTTGGAGCAGGAGGAAGGACAGACAGTGTCAGTTTCTGGGATATTTTAGAGCATGAAAGAGTATAGATGATGTCAGTCCCGGGATATTGGGATATTTTGGAGCAGGAGACAGGATGAAGTGTCAATCCCACAATATTGGGATATTTTGGAGCAGTAGGAAGGATGAACAGTGTCAGTCCTGGGATATTGGGATATTTTGAGCAGAAGGGAGGATGGATGGAGTCAATCCCACAATATTTGGATATTTTGGAGCAGGAGGAAGGATGAACAGTGTCAATGCTGGGATATTGGGATATTTTGGAGCAGGAGACAGGATGAAGTGTCAATCCCACAATACTGATATATTTTGGAGCAGAAGAGAGGATGGACAGTGTCAATCCCATAACATTGGGATATTTTGGGGCAGGAGAGAAGATAGATTATGTCAACCCCAGGATATTGGGATATTTTGGAGCAGGAGAGAAGATGGATGGAGTCAATCCCACAATATTGGGACATTTTGGAGCAGGAGGGAAGATGGCAGTGTCAATCCTGGGAATCTTGGGTTCTTTTGGAGCAGGAGGGAGCACAGATAGGGATATTTGGATATTTTGGAGCAGGAGGGAGGATGAACAGTGTCAATCCCAGGATTCTGGGATATTTTGGAGCAGGAGGGAGGATGAACAGTGTCAATCCCAGAGCACTGGGATATTTTGGAGCAGGAGGGAGGATGAACAGTGTCAATCCCGGGATTTTGGGATGTTTTGGAGCAGGAGGGAGCACGGACAGTGTCAGCCCCAGGTTCTACCCTGTGCAGGTGCTGCCCTGGCACTCCTCACCTGCAGGCTCCTCCTGGAGAGCCAGCAGGGTGTGATTTACCTGCCAGCCTGCAGTCACCTGGGTACCCACAAAGGCTCTTCCAGCAGGGAAGCTCTTCCTGCCTGTGCCTCAGGCTCCAGCTTTTCCAGCTCCACAGCGAGCCTGGGAGCTGGGGAAGGTATCCCAGAGGCAAAGGGAGGGATTTCCTGCAGCTCTTCCCACCGAATCCTTAGGGAACGTTCCCTGAGTGGAGCGGGAGCATCGCTTTCCCACTGCTCGATCCAGGGGGTTTGGCCTCCTGTCCTTTTAGGCTTTGGTATGTTTGGGATTGATTATCCACCCAAGTGACTCCCATTCCACCAGGTCAAACATTTATGGTGAGACTCATCATGGTGCCAGGTTCTTCCATCACTCAGCCAAAACCAGGGGCAGGATGAGCCACCCCAAACTCCTTCACTGTCCCTGCACGGGGCATTGTCCTTCAAATCCCAGCCCCAAATCCCAATCCCAAATCCCAACCCCAAATCCCAACCCCAAATCCCAACCCCAAATCCCAACCCCAAATCCCGACCCCAAATGGGATGGGTCAAAGATTTATGGCCAAAACTCCTCGTGAGGCCGGGTTCTTCCATCACTCAGCCAAAACCAGGGCAGGATGAGCCACCCCAAACTCCTTCACTGTCCCTGCACGGGACATTGTCCTTCTTTGACATGGTCAAAGATTTATGGCTAAAACTCCTCATGGTGCCGGGTTCTTCCATCACTCAGCCAAAACGAGCAACGGGATGAGCCACCTCAAACTCCTGCATTGTCCTTCACATCCTTCATGTCCTTCCTTGAGTGCTGGGTGACCAAACCCACAAAGAAATTGGAGTCCAGGCCAGGCAGAGAGTGGGAATTCAGCTCATGGAAGTGTTTTTCCCCCTGTGGATGGTGAGGGCCTTAATTCTGCTGCTGTGCAGGGAGAGTGGAGAGGGTTGGGACGCTCTGGTGTGGCCCAGGGTGTGGGGTACAGGTGACACCAGTGCTATGGGGAAAATGAGCTCCAAAGGAGCTGGGACTGTCACCTGGATGTGACATCAGTGGTGCCTGCAGTGATGTTCAGGTCTTTGGTGGCCCTGACAGAGAAAGTGTTGATAGCAGCAAGCATCTTCAGGGCTTTTATTTAAGGAAAAGGGCTGGACTTTGTTGTGTTTTCCTTCTCTGGTTTTCATTTAATCTGATTTTGGTTTTGTAGAGGGGTCTGCAGCATTGTGGGCCACCAAGTTCTGCGGTGGGATCTGTCCTCTCTTGGGACAGGAAAAGAACTGGAGCTTTTGTTTTTCAATGGAATCAGAGAAAGGCTTGGGTGGGAAGGAACCTTAGAGATGATCCAGCCCCAGCCCTGAGCGCTGCTCTGATATTGCAGTGCCAGAACGTTGGGAGTTGGTGTTTCACCTGTGTGGGTTATCAGTGTCACTGCTGTGGTGGCAGTGACAAAAAGGACCAGCAGCTCTCTGTCCCTCCCACCCCTTCCCTGCCAGAGGTGGGTTTTGCCACCCTAACTCTCACCTATCAGGGAAGGGAACCCCCTTCCCTTTCCCCTCCTCGTTTGCCCTTTTACCCTGTGCACACACACTCTCCTTTCCGTGCCCAATCCTCGCGTTTCCCACACCCCCTCCAGATGGAATCACAGAATATCCTGAGCTGGAAGGGACCCACAAGGACTGACCCCAATCCTGACCCCAGAATCCCACCCTGAGCAGGAGCTTTGGGGCTGGCACCATTCCCTGGCTCCTCCTGGCTGTGAAACCTTGCCCTGCTGTCCCACCCCACCCTCCTGTCCCTGCTCCAGCCATTCCCTGTCACTGGGCAGCACAGGGAATGTGGATTCTTCGTTTCTTCTTGTCTGCCAAGGTCGGGATTGAATGTGTGAAATGATATTTCAGATGTTTATTAGTTTTTATCTGCCGTACAGGCTCACAGAGTGTGAGCTCTGCAGTGTTTCTTTCTAACAAGTTAAAAATTGGAGCCGTGTCTCTCCACAAGGTCTTTTAAGGATAAACTGTCTAATTAGGAAATGACACTTAAATTCTTTTTACTTTTAACCCAATAACCAACCACTCGTGGCTGCAATGCAGATTCTTTATCCAATTACACAATATCACGCCAACTCATGAAGAAGAGGGTGAAGAGGAAGAACCTGCTTTCACCCTAAAACTTCCATTTTGCCTTCTATATATTACTATATTCTATAACTTTAAGTTTTCTATATTCTAGAAACTTATCTATTCTAAAACTATATTCTAAAACTTTTTGTTCTATATATAAAATATATATATTCTAAAACTTTAAGTTTTCTACCATGTGATATTATACACTTCTACTCAAGCTTTATAATCATAATCTCTAGACTATATTCTATATCTTTAAGTTTTCTATATTCTATAAATTTATATATTCTAAACTTTATATTCTATATATAGACTATATATATTCTGAAACTTTTTCTACCATGCGATAGAAACTTTATAATCATAACCTCTAGACTAGATTCTATAAGTTTTCTATATTCTATAAACTCAAACTTTATAATCATAATCTCTATATGATGTTCTATAACTTTGTTTTCTATATTCTATAAGTTCAAACTTTATAATCATAATCTCTATACTATATAACTTTAAGTTTTCTATATTCTATAAACATATATATTCTAAAACTAGATTCTATATATAGAATATATATTTTCTAAAACTTTAAGTTTTCTACCATGCAAGATTACACACTTCTACTCAAACTTTATTATCATACTCTCTATACTATATTCTATATACTTATATATTCTAAAACTTTATATTCCATATATAGAATATATATATTCTAAAACTTTAAGCTTTCTACCACGCAATATTACACACTTCTACTCAAACTTTATCATCATAATCTCTATACTATATTCTATAAACTTACATATTCTAAAACCATATTCTAAAACTTTATATTCTATATATAGAATATATATTTTCTAAAACTTTAAGCTTTCTACCATGCAATATTACACACTTCTACTCAAACCTTATAATCATAATCTTTATACTATATTCTATAAACTTACATATTCTAAAACCATATTCTAAAACTTTATATTCTACATATAGAATATATATTTTCTAAAACCTTAAGCTTTCTACCACGCAAGATTACACACTTCTACTCAAACTTTATCATCATAATCTCTATACTATATTCTATAAACTTACATATTCTAAAACCATATTCTAAAACTTTATATTCTACATATAGAATATATATTTTCTAAAACTTTAAGCTTTCTACCACGCAAGATTACACACTTCTACTCAAACTTTATCATCATAATCCCAGTTCTATCATTCCATTTTGGAAGCTTTCTCCTTCTCCTCAGTGTTCCCTTGGGGGGGGGTGGTCAGCACAGAAAGTCTAAAATTTGGACTTTCCAGTCCTCCAACAAGGGCACATCCCGAAAAACGCAGGGAAAAGCGAGGAGACGGCAAGAGGCGGAAAAACTCCGTGTGCTGCTGTTCCAGCGGGGGGGAAAAACGAGGAAAAAAAAAAATAAAAATAAAAAAGAAATCTCTTTTGGGGGCCGGGACATCCCGGGGGCGGGCGCTGGGGGGGCCGCTCCGCCCGGCCCTGATTTGCTGCGCGGCTCCGAGATTGACAAACTCCGGCCTCGGGTTTAAAAGAAGGGGGAAAAAAGGGCGGTGTGGGGAGAGAGGGAGAGAGAGAGAGAGAGGGAAGGGAAAAGTTTAGCGGAGGAGCAGCGAGGCAGGGCCGGAGCTGAGCGCGGCGGAGCCCCCGCACCCTCCGCCCGCCCCATGGCTTTATAAAGGGCTGCTCCCCGGGGGGGGCTGCCGGGGGGGCTGAGCGCCTGCTCTGCGCTTCTACAGACAGCTTGGATTGGGGTGGTGTTTTTTGTATTTTTTTTTAAATAATTTTTTTCTTCATCCTCCTTTCGAGCTGTCCCGAGCTGGTGGCCCGTTTAGTTTAGTTTATTTTTTTTTTTTTTTTTTTTTTGGTGGGGGGAGCATGGATACGCACACGCGGTGGAAAAGGCGCAGTTGGATACGGAGCTGCTCGGTGCCCGCTGCGCTGCTGCTCTTGGGTGCCCTGTCCCTCGGCCGGGCAGGTAAGGGGGGTTCCCGAGCCCCCCCAAAAGCTGCGGGGGTCGTGGGGGAGTGGGAAAGGGTGCGGGGGGGATGATTTGGTGCGGGGCAAAACCCTCTCGGCTTTCCTTCCTCCCTGTGCGTTCCAGCAAAAAGGAGAGAAAAAGAAAAAAATAGATAAAAAAAAAAAAAAGAAGGAAAAACCACCCAACAAAACCCACCCAACCTCCTTTAGCTGCCCGAGTCTCTGAATGCCATTTGTCAGGGGGCCCGTAAAAGGGGAAAAAACTTAAAACAATTCTTTATTCGCCTTCCTTGGAGCAAGAGCCGCCTCTTGCCGGGCTGCTTTTTTCCGGAGGAAAAGTCGGGGATGAGTTTCTGGAGGCTCTGCCTCTTTCTCTCTCGCCGTGGATATATATGTGAATGTATATTTAGTCCCCTGGAAACCTCCGGGCTTGCGTAGTTCCTCCTCCTTGAGGAGCAGAAAGTTTTTTTTTTTGTCCCGCAGGAATCCGCTCTCCCTCCGCACATCAAAGCTCGGGACACAAAAGCTTTGGAGCCGCCCGGGGACCCCAAAGCTCGCTGCCCCTTCCCCAACCTCAACCCCGCAGGGTTTGCCCCTAAAACCGGGGCTGGGTGCAGCAGGAGGAAGCTCCGAGCTTCCAGATGTGCAGCAGCACAGAAAACCACTGGAATGTCATTTTTTTTTCCCCTCCCCTCCTAATGGTGCAGAAGAGAGACTGAACACATTTCTGCTTCCCTTTGGGGCCGTGCAGTTTTGTTTCCAAAGCTCTGCTTCCCAAATTTCTGCCTTCTGGGAAATGCCAGGGCGGGGGGAATCGCAGAATATCCTTTTGTGGGGTGCCGGAGGAGTTTCCTGGGTGTTCGCAGAGCTTTTTCCCGGTTTGTGGCGGACACTCAGAGGCATCGAGCTCTGTTTGTGTTGGATTTCAGGGCAGCATTTGTTGGCCGAGGCGAGTTTTGAAATCGGCAAAGTTAAAACTCGAGTTCTTCAGGGTAACTTGAGAAGCCGAGAAGTGCCCTGAAGAGCTGGGCTGTCTGGGATTCAGCTTCCCTGCCCGAATTCAGTGGTTTTTGCAGGGTTTGTTTGAGTGTTAGCAGTGGGATTCTCTGTGTCAAAGCAGCGGGATCGCCAATTATTTTCATTTCTGGCCTCTCCAAATGACCTTAAGGAAGAAGAGGTGGGCGTTGGAGGAATGCTTCCATTAAGGTTCTGCTTGTGGAGGCTGAGCAGGGTGGAAAAAACTCAATGGATAAAATGTCCTGAACGTCCCCGCAGGGAAATGAGGGGCCAGTGGGAGACCCCCGAGTTCGGGGTCGGGATATTGGAGGGCTGGAATGCCAGCAGCTCCTCTTGTCAGGCTCGGGTACTTTGTATCAGCTGAAAATTGAATTTTCACCAGACCGCTCTGTTCCAAAGGAAAACCAACAATTTATTCCTCTCACTCGTGCTTGTGCTGATGCTTTAACACTCCCAGAGCATCCCCAGGCATTTCCCCGTCTGTGTTTGTCCTCCAGACAATCCCAAACCGCTTTTGGAAGTTCCCAGGTGACTTTGGGACCAGTTTTGGGGGCAGCTGCCGGGGCAGAGGATGGCTGGGAGCTTTTGTGGGGCCAGCGTGCAGCTCTGGGGAATGACTCTTGTGGTGAAAGGCTTTGAGTTTTCCTAATGAGCCGCCTAATAGGACATCAAATCATTTGGGTGAGGGAGGAGCCAGACTGGGGCTGCTGATGGCATTGACTAATGGTCTTGATGGCTTTTTTTTTCGGTTTTTTTTTTTTTTTTAATTTTTCCACGTTGTCTCTGGTTTTATTGCAGCTCAGAGCGTGTGTTAGTTTCAGGATAGTTGGTTTCTCTGTGTGGAGAGGTGAAATTTCCCTGTAATCTGTGGGATGGCACCTGGCACAGAGGATTTCCAGCAAATAACAGGGAAATAACAATGTCAAAGCTGCCTCCCACCACTGCCCATCCAGCTCAGATTTTCCCATATTTGCACAGATGATGTCACACCAAAATCAAACCCACAGACAAAGCTGGAACCCCTCTCTGCTCTTACAAATCCCTGTAAAAACCAAATCGGGTTTCTGGGTGAAACTTTTGGATGCAGCAATTTCCTTTAGTGGCAAAGAGTAATGAGGATCCAAACTAAAATAAAAATGCTGGAAATTATGTTGTATCCTGTTACCTTGGCTCTTCCCCAGTCACCTAAACGAGCTAAAAAAATCTTTATCCAACCAGTTAAAAGACAGGATTATTTCAATACTTTGCCAGTCAAAAGTGTTGATATTGTTTTACAAGAAGAAATCTGACTTTATGGGTCTGGAATGGGTGGCAGTTCCAATTTCCCCCTGTAAAAGCTGGATCATGCTGTCAGTGCACTGCCAGGTTGCAATGGGAATTTGGAAGTTAAAGGCACTCGGCTGTGGGAGCAGCCTGGCCAGGGGACAGCAGAGGGGACAGCAGAGGGGACAGCAGAGGGGACAGCAGAGGGGACAGCAGAGGGGACAGCAGAGGGGACAGCTGAGGTCTTGTCTTGTTCTTCCAGGGGCAGGAGGAAAACTGTGCTGAGCATTCCCTGATTTCAGGGAATTCCTTCAAATTTGGGAATGGGAGGAATCCCATTCCAAATCCCATTCCGAATCCCATTCCAAATCCCATTTCCAATCCCATTCCGAATCCCGTTTCCATTCCCATTCCCAATCCCATTCCCAATCCAATTTCCAGCCCAATTTCCAGTCCCATTCCCAATCCCAGTCCCATTCCCAATCGCATTTCCAGCCCCATTTCCAATCCCTTTCCCAATCCCATTTCCAGCCCCTTTTCCACTTCCATTCCCAATCCCATTTCCATTCCCATTCCCAATCCCATTCCCAATCCCATTTCTAGCCCCATTTCCACTTCCATTCCCATTTCCAACTTCACTTCCAATCCCACTCCAAATCCCATTTCCAGCCCCATTCCCAATCCCATTCCCAGCCCCATTTCACCTCTTTGGGGTATCTCTAAGGCAAAACCCTCTGGGGAGTTGCTGGTTTTTGGAGTGCACACAGGGACAGCAGCGAGGACTCACCTGGCTCTGACCAAAACATGTTTTTAATGGCAAATTTAAATTAAAAAACCTGCCTTGGTGTTGTTTTTAGTGTTCATTGTGTGCCCTAGGAGAAATCAGGAGGGGCTGGAAAGGGGTTGTGAATCCTTATTTTAAGTGGGTGCTGTCCCTGCCCTTTAGGATTTGGATTTGGAGATGGATTTTTCAGGTTTTCAGCACTGCAGGGCTTGTGCTGATGTCTCTCAGAGCTGAGGGGGGACTCAAATATCTGCTCTGCCCTCTCTGGGTGCTGCAGGAGTGGAGATGGGACACCCCTGATTTAATTTGAGTGAATTTGGGTTCTTTGCCCTGAGTGTGGCTGCAGCAAGGGGTCAGCACAGAACCCCTGGGGTTGGAAAAGATTCCCATATCCTGAGCACCCTCAGGTAAACACCAGCAAATCACAGCTTTCATTCTGAAGGAGATTTTCCGTTTTTCCCATTTTGTGGCTGTCCCAGAGGCCCTGATGGCACAGAGATGTCCCTGTCACCCTTGGCAGTGCCCGGCTGCCTTCCCTGTGCCCTGAGCTGTGCTCAGCTCCTGGTGCTGTCTGTCCATCCCTGTCCCCCTGTCCCCAGGGCAGGATCTGCATTCACACCTGCTTTGAGTTAGGTTGGATTTCTGCCCCGAGCCAGAGGAGCAGCAGGAATTGCTGTGGGACAGCGTGCAGTGGCATTTAGGGATGTTTTGAGTTTTGTCTGGACTTCAGGAAAAATCTGGGAAGGCATTCCAGGAAACTGCTCTTCACTCCAAAGGGTTTATCTGCTGGGCAGTTAAAATTGGCCCTTCGTTCTTTCAGTAATTACTTTTTGTGTCCTGATTCCTGGAGCTGCTGGATCTGGGAGCTGGGGAAGCTCTGGATGGATGGATGGATGGATGGATGATGGATGGATGGATGGATGGATGGAGGATGGATGGATGGAGGATGGATGGATGGATGGAGGATGGATGGATGGATGATGGATGGATGGATGGATGGATGGATGGATGGATGGATGGAGGATGGATGGATGGATGGATGGATGGATGGATGGATGGATGATGGATGGATGGATGATGGATGGATGCAGGGATGGATGATGGATGGATGGATGGATGGATGGATGGATGGATGATGGATGATGGATGGATGGATGGATGGATGGATGGATGATGGATGGATGGATGGATGATGGATGGATGGATGGATGGATGGATGGATGGATGGATGGATGATGGATGGATGGATGATGGATGATGGATGGATGGATGGATGATGGATGGATGGATGGATGGATGATGGATGGATGATGGATGGATGGATGGATGATGGATGGATGGATGGATGGATGGATGGATGGATGGATGATGGATGGATGGATGATGGATGATGGATGGATGGATGGATGATGGATGGATGGATGGATGGATGATGGATGGATGATGGATGATGGATGGATGCAGGGATGGATGATGAATGGATGGATGATGGATGATGGATGATGGATGGATGGATGGATGGATGATGGATGGATGGAGGATGGATGGGTGGATGGATGGATGATGGATGGATGGATGGATGGATGGATGGATGGATGGATGATGGATGGATGATGGATGGATGGATGGATGGATGGATGGATGGATGGATAATGGATGGATGGATGGATGGATGGATGATGGATGGATGGATGATGGATGATGGATGGATGGATGGATGATGGATGGATGATGGATGGATGGATGGATGGATGGATGGATGGATGGATGGATGGATGGATGATGGATGGATGATGGATGATGGATGGATGGATGATGGATGGATGGATGGATGGATGGATGGACATGGATGGATGGATGGATGGATGATGGATGGATGATGGATGATGGATGGATGGATGATGGATGGATGGATGGATGGATGGATGATGGAT